TCTGTACAGTATGGTGATACTTCTGTACAGTATGGTGATACTTCTGTACAGTAAACTGTATGATGATACTTCTGTACAGTATGATGATACTTCTGTACAGTATGATGATACTTCTGTACAGTATGATGATACTTCTGTACAGTAAACTGTATGATGATACTTCTGTACAGTAAACTGTATGGTGATACTTCTGTACAGTAAACTGTACGGTGATACTTATGTACAGTTAACTGTACTATATGGGGATACTTCTGTACTGTATGGTGATAATTCTGTACAGTAAACTGTATGGTGATACTTCTGTACAGTAAACTGTCTGGTGATAATTCTGTACAGTAAACTCTATGATGATACTTCTGGACAGTAAACTGTATGGTGATACTTCTGGACAGAAAACTGTATGATGATACTTCTGGACAGTAAACTGTATGGTGATAATTCTGTACAGTAAACTGTATGGTGATACTTCTGTACAGTAAACTGTATGGTGATACTTCTGTACAGTAAACTGTATGGTGATACTTTTGTACAGTAAACTGTATGGTGATACTTCTGCACAGTAAACTGTATGGTGATACTTCTGCACAGTAAACTGTATGATGATACTTCTATACAGTAAACTGTATGGTGATAATTCTGTACAGTAAACTGTATGGTGATACTTCTGTACAGTAAACTGTATGGTGATACTTCTGTACAGTAAACTGTATGGTGATACTTCTGTACAGTAAACTGTATGGTGATACTTCTGTACAGTAAACTGTATGATGATACTTCTATACAGTAAACTGTATGGTGATAATTCTGTACAGTAAACTGTATGGTGATACTTCTGTACAGTATGGTGATACTTCTGTACAGTAAACTGTATGATGATACTTCTATACAGTAAACTGTATGGTGATAATTCTGTACAGTAAACTGTATGGTGATACTTCTGTACAGTATGGTGATACTTCTGTACAGTAAACTGTATGGTGATACTTCTGTACAGTAAACTGTATTCTCATAATTCTATACAGTACACTGTATGGTGATACTTCTGTACAGTATGGTGATACTTCTGTACAGTATGGTGATACTTCTGTACAGTAAACTGTATGGTGATACTTCTGTACAGTAAACTGTATGATGATACTTCTGTACAGTAAACTGTACTGTATGGTGATACTTCTGTACAGTAAACTGTACTGTATGGTGTTGCTTCTGTATAGTATGGTGATACTTCTGTACAGTAAACTGTCTGGTGATAATTCTGTACAGTAAACTGTATGGTGATACTTCTGTACAGTAAACTGTCTGGTGATAATTCTGTACAGTAAACTGTATGGTGATACTTCTGTACAGTAAACTGTATGATGATAATTCTGTACAGTAAACTGTATGGTGATACTTCTGTACAGTAAACTGTATGATGATAATTCTGTACAGTAAACTGTATGGTGATACTTCTGTACAGTAAACTGTATGATGATACTTCTGTACAGTAAACTGTATGATGATACTTCTGTACAGAAAACTGTATGATGATACTTCTGGACAGAAAACTGTATGATGATACTTCTGGACAGAAAACTGTATGATGATACTTCTGGACAGAAAACTGTATGATGATACTTCTGGACAGTATGGTGATACTTCTGAACAGTATATGGTTAGATGATATTTCTGTGCAGCACATGGTATTACGGTAGTTCGGTACACTACATTACACACCCTCAAGTACGTGTTGTTGAGCTGACACATGCTGATGGTCAGAAGGGAGTAAGGTTGTTTATAATTGTATAACACCTGTCAGATATCAGTTACTACTGAGATGTTTTATAACTATAAACAACCTGGAAACAGACATAAACAAACAGGAAATGATCGGAGGGTGGAGTGTAAGTGGAGACCTTTAAGGTATTACACAGAAAAGACGGGGGATTAGAGATAAGTCAGTCTTGTGTGCTAGGGATAAGATTGGGATTATACAAACGGACCTTCAGAGAACTAAAATTCTTGTAAACAGACAGACATTTCAGCTGATAACCTCACCGATGGTATTAGTATCTATGTAACCGTCTTGGTGTAAGACGTAAATGTCCTCGCTGTAATTGCCTTTGTTATAGGACTGACGTTTTGATATATATCGTGCAATACAGACAGACGCTATTTAAATAGGCCGTGATTTCATAGATAAATGAATAATTATTCTATCTTTAAAAAGACCAGTTATCGTTTAACAAAATGTAAGTAATAGTTCATACATTTCTCATTTAATACACATCAGATTAAAATATTCTTTCACATTAAGCAATAATTAAGTTTATAAGTTTTATAATGCATAACATTGTCAAGGAGAAATGGAAGGACGTATTCAACTCTCAATTAGTGTACAGTAAATTAAATTTCTTCTTAAAACCAGAAGTTAGAAATTACTCGTTAACTTATCAAATGAGTCGCTTTTAATCATTTTTGTTTTTAAAATATTATGATTCCTGATTTTAGAGATATTATCCAATGTCTGGCAGGAAGAGTATTTAACTCGCTGCTGGTGTACCATCTGCTTGATAGGCGAAGATACTACATCTTGTTAACAAGCCATAATTTCTCTAGGAACTATGGAAGAGCATTAGGGCCTGATAATATTTTCTTTTTCTTTTTTCAATTTTTCGATATATAAGTTTTTATGGTAACTGCTGATGGTCGACATTTTACTATAGTAGGACTTTCTTAATGGGAACATCGATTTACATTTAATCCGGGTTTTAAGTATTTCTTTTCCAACAAATAAGAATTTGAAATGAAGAAATAATAAAAAATAAAGATGAAATAAAAAAATATTAACACAGAGTTTGATGCTTTGTAAAGAATATACTTAAAGGCCAAGGACGGCCTAGTTTAAAATCCCACCGGACAGCAATTAGGAAAGTGGAGGAGGGAGACGGGGCTTATCTGTAGTGTGTGTGATTTTGAGGAAATTCTTTCTCTGCAGTGAAGGCAGCCAAAAATTAGTATCTTCCTCCATTTTCCGGAGTTGCCTCCCTTTCATACTCCGTCCCCTGCCTTTGAATTTTGACGAAATAGCTTTATTAATTGACGAAGAGGATAAAATGGCTGACGATATACACATCAATTATGTAAGAACTGGAATATGGATGGGAAAATGTCAGCGGGGTAATGGAAGCGTAGCGATAGATATGCGAGGATCAAAACACGAATAGTTAATTATTTAACAATACTTTAATGACTGCTAAACTTGCATCAGCACATAAAACTTAGTTATAACATCGCAGCTCTACATCATGCATGATAAACATGTACCAAATTGAACTACTGATGAATCTGCTGATCATGCTTATATCCAATTGACCCGGTTTGGCGCCAACAGAGATGGAGAAACAGACATGTTAACACGTACATGTTTTTGTAAGGATTTCCATGAATAAAATAACCTAATTTTTGTTTCTTATTATAATTCGTTCAAACGAAAACGCACGAACATCAAAGCAGTGATACGTCTTTTACAGCTTACCTTCGTTATTCTAACATTTCAAAACAAAATAGCTTGTCGAGTTGAACCAAGCATAAGAGTACAAGAGTTGTCTCCCTTGATTATATCACGACTATTTGTACCTGACCAAACATCCTTTGAAATAGTTACAAGGTTTGGTGTAAGTAATGCTCTGAATTAAGACATTTAGTTATTGCTTTACTTGTTTTTATTTAGGACTGACTGCTGCGTGTGCTGATGGAGAATTGAGATGTGCGGATGGATCATGTGCCAACGACTGCTCGAATGGAAAGTACGACGAAGGTAAAGTTCCGGTCTACATTGTAGGTGCTACGTTTGTCCCAGTTAATGTCCTACAGCAGTCTCTCTTACATATTGGACATTTATCCATCAAATCGTTGATTTTAAAGACCACCATGGGTCGAAGTCCAATGTTTAAACTATATGTTTCCTTTAAGTCAGCCTTTCCGATTCTTTATCAGAGGATAAATTTCAACATGATATGGACAACATTTTAAATGTTTTTCATAGACCGTTTTCCAAACCTCTGTATCAAAATTTACGTTATCCTTCAATAAAACCACAAGCAAAACACTTAAAGAAATAAAGATAATTTTGTTTTCATTTTCATTTTTATCGTGCTATTTCCTGTAGTTTTTCTATTTTTTTCCCCATTTGCAGACATAAAACTTGGTGATAACTGCACGTATTTTATCAACATCACTTGTGATGTTTTTGTTCCGAATTCTACATGTGAAGCTGGACAATGCGTGTGTGCTTTTGGTCACTTCCCAAACGATCAGCGCACAGCATGTTTACCACGTAAGTAAACCGTTAGACTTTGTATATATTTGTCATTTGATAATGACCTCGTCACGGATATGGTAAATGCTCTGTTTTTATACTTAAATGTTAGTATTGAAATGTAACGTATTAACTTTATTATTGAAATCTGAAATGTCTTACTAAAATAGTGAAATTTGGATATGCATGCATCTATATATTTCCTACAGATACCCATAGAGAAGGCGTGTGTTAATATTGTTATGCATATAGGAAGAGTTATTTCCCTTTGATTAGAGAAAACTTATCAGAAAACAGATTAACACTTTTGTTTCTTCTGTCAACATTTATGATATGAATGTCTGTTTCCACAGGTAATTTTGGAAGTCCATGCCTGACTGACTCAGACTGTAATGAAATCCTCGAATCAAGCATCTGTTTGAATCAAAGCATATGTGAGTGTGGAGCCGGATACGAAAAAGATGAAACTAAAAGGAGATGTATACGGAATTTCTTTAACAAAACCTGCACAAGTGATATACAGTGTTCAACCATTCCAAACAGTTCTTGTGATTCTTATTTAAACTTGTGTCTTTGCATTCCAGGATACCAGCGTGAGGATGGTGACGGGCCATGTGCCACAATCCCTTTGAATTTAGATAAAACTGTAACAAGCAATATGTCAAACTCGTATTCAAATATTTCTTATCCTAATTTCAATATGAAAAAGTGTAAAAATAACTCGGAGTGTTATAGTGTAATTACTGGTAGTGAGTGTAACTTCTCAAAGTGCTCGTGCCCGGTAGGACATATTTTGGAAGTGAAAGAGTCGAAATGCGTCAGAATTATATCAGAGAAAGACAATAATCTTACGAAACATACTAATTCATCTACAGACAATGCGAATTATACCTGTAACGACAATAATTCAAATTGTACAAGCGTGAATGAAACAATTTGCACTTCCGGTAATTCAACTGAAGTTAACGGAAGCGGATGTGACGATACCCTGATAGGCAGAAATTGTCGGTCTTCGGCCGACTGTAACATCGTTGGAAACAACACTGTTTGTGGTAATAATGGTAAATGCAAATGTCAACCCGGATTTGTACCAAGCGCCAACCATTCCAGATGTGTCCTCCTCGAAACGACCTGTAATGATGACAGTGACTGTTCATATATTCAAGATGGCGTCTGCACCAATGGCTCAATTTGTGGGTGTAAACCTGGGTTCAAATTTGTGAACCTTACGTGTGAGCTTTTTAATGATTGTTTTGATGACCTCGAATGTCTTTCAGCAATTGACGGATCGCGATGTGTAAACGGATCTTGTATTTGCAACATCAGCCAGAAGGCGGATATCGTCGTGGGCCGTTGCGTTTTGAAAACGGTCGGAGATTATTGTAATGGTGATCATGATTGTTCCCAAGCAGTGCCAAATAGTCACTGTTACAATGGTATTTGTGTTTGTAAAGCCGGGTTTAAGCCGAACGAAGATCAAGCAAGCTGTGTCCGCTTAAGCCTGGGTGACGCGTGTTCTGCTGATTCAGAATGTGACACTGGTATAGATAAAGCTTATTGTGGTTCCAACAATATATGTGTATGTCCTTTAGGTTACTATAATCTTCCGAACATGTCCTCCTGTGTACGTCGCACTATTGGTGATGCGTGTTCGGTGTTAGCGGATTGTGAACACGCTGTGAAGAATAGTGTCTGCACTGATGTCGGGCAATGTGCTTGTTCACCTTACGGATTCCGTGACGCTGAAAACGGAACGAGGTGTGTTCTTCTGCAATTGGGAGACGCTTGTGATCTAAATGAAACTTGTGAGGCCGCTGTCAATAAAAGTGAATGTAGTAGTAACGGAATATGTACTTGTGTATCCGGATATACACCTGGTAAGGATAATTCCTCGTGTTTGATGACGAAACTCGGTGATAGCTGTGTCGATTCAGATATGTGCAGTGCATTAATTGATCATAGCACATGTAACAGTAAGTCAATATGCACGTGTCTATCAGGATATAGATCAAATATTCAAAACGACGCATGCGACCCGATCCACCTTGGAGACCCGTGTGACGTGGCAACTGACTGTACGAGTACTATTGATCATAGTTTATGTGGCGACGACAAGCTCTGTGGATGCACCGCCGGATACAAGGTTAATAAATCTAGTAACTATTGTGTGAGGCTGGTTTTAGGCGACTTTTGTATTTTCAACATCGAGTGTAATTCTGTAGTAAACAGGTCGTTTTGCACCGGAAATCAGACATGTGAATGCGAAGTTGGTTACAAAGCAAGTGAAGACTTCAGAAATTGTGCTTTGCTAGAAATAGGTGACGTCTGTGAGTCTAATGAGGAATGTGCCTCAGCAATTGGATATAGTGTATGCGGGTCCGACAACCACTGTCAGTGTGACACGGGTTATAAGGTCAACGACACTCGTAAAGATATTACCATGGACGAAGCTGGACCTGTCGATGATAAATGCATTCCTTTGGTGATAGGGGATGACTGTTCGACATCACATCAATGTGAAATTGTAATGGACGACAGCATTTGTACCAATGGGACGTGCGGATGCAAACATGGATACCGGTTTAAACTTGATGGTAGCGGTTGTACAAACTTAAAGCTTGGTGACAAGTGCAGACGCGGACTACAGTTTGACGATTGTGCTGAAATATTGAATAGCCAGTGTGGAAGAGGGCCGAAATGTCTTTGTGATTACGGCTACAGAGCGGCACCAGACGGAACGTTCTGCATCAGAAACATGTTGGGCGATGCATGTAGTCAACACATTGATTGCAGTGTCTTGATGCCAAATAGCTTCTGTGGAGAAGACAATTTTTGTCTGTGTGAAAGAGAAAGTGGTTATATCCCTATGGACAATCGAACAGACTGCAGGCTTATTAGTCATGGAGACCCGTGTCAAAGAGACAACGACTGCCATTTCGGACTCAACGCTAATAGTATGTGCGGCGGAAACGGTATTTGCGAATGTGAAACAGGCTATCTCTTCGATGAGGGAGACAAAAGAAACTGTTTTCCTGCTAAGATTGGGGATACGTGTGGTGATGATATCGATTGTTCGACATTTATGAACAATTCTCTTTGCAGTAGTAAATCTAGCCGATGTGACTGCGACGTCGGATATAGACCAGTTGATAACAACACCGGCTGTGTTCAGATAACAATTGGTGACAACTGTTTGGTAGACTTACAGTGTACCATAGCTGTGAATCACACACGGTGCCTAAATAACACTTGCTCCTGTCTACCAATGTATAAACCCGATACCAATGAGACTTTTTGTGTCCTCAAGGAGCTCTTAGACGAATGCGATGATGACGTAGATTGCACTCTAATAACAAACAGCGTATGTCGTAATCGAACTTGTGAATGCTCAATTGGTTTCTACGAAGACAAAAATTATACCATATGTACGAAACACACTATGTACTCGGTATGTGAAAGGAATGAAGATTGTACAACAGTTATCAATGACAGCTCTTGTCACAATAATACATGTATATGCAACGTCGGATTCTTTGTTGAGAATGAAACGACATGCACAAAACGTAAAGTTGGGGACAGTTGTGACGTAGAATTAGACTGTCAATCAGCGGTCGCCAGTAGCAACTGCTCAAATGGAACGTGTGAATGTTATCCAGGCTACCTCACTAACCATATCAACGATACATGCACCAAAAGAAAAATATTGGACGCATGCGCAGTGAATTCGGACTGCGACAATGCCGTTGTCTGGAGTGAATGCTCGATAGGGGAATGTGTTTGCCAGAAAGGCTATCGAAGCTCGAATAATTATACTTCATGTTTAAAACGTATGTATGTGAACGAAACAAAAAATAAAATAAAAAAGTGTTGAAGTTGAATACGCACCTTGAAATAGTAATGATCGACCATGAATACTGCAAAATAAATGTAGATACAAAGAACACAAACTTATTATGATTTCCTTTTAAAAAAAAGAGAACGCAATTTTTTCATATACTTCAAATAATCAACGGTAATACGATTAACATAGTCAAATTTGTTTTGGAGTTTGGTAGTTTATCCATGAATGGCGAATGCCTACGTTTCAGACTTTTTTTTTCTTTTTACTTACAGGGAGAATTGGAGACGTCTGTGAGTTTACGGGGGATTGCCTCCATGCCGTTCCAAATAGTCTCTGTGGCAAGGATAATAGTACTTGCGTGTGTGATCTTGGATTTAAAGCTGAACTTAATGACTCCATTTGTGAGCCAAGAGTCATTGGTGACACGTGTACATATGACCCAGACTGTCTTTACGCTGTGAACAACAGTGAATGTAGGGCAGGGTTCTGTACTTGCGAGACAGGGTTTAAGGTCCTAGACGAGGGTCATGTATGTGACAGTAACAGAATATTTGATAATTGCGACCTCGATTTTGATTGCACATTGGCAGTCGCTAACAGCGAATGCTTCAACAATTCGTATTGCAGATGTCGTCTTGGGTTTCATGAAAAACAGAACAACACTGAGTGCAGTTTAAGGAAAATAGGAGATAAGACTTGCACACAGGAAATAGACTGCTCAGCAGCTGTCAATAATAGTTTTTGTAATAATGGCGTCTGCGCATGTACGTCCGGATATTATGCGAATGATTTAAGGTCCGATTGCATTTTGCGGAAAATCTACGACGCTTGTCAAAATGATTCCGATTGTGGGGATGCCATTACTAACAGTCAATGTTTCGATGGTATATGTTTGTGTTTACCCGGATATTACGTCACATCCGGAAACAGTACTTGTGTAAAAAGACGTGTTATGGACGATTGTAAGAAATCAATAGACTGTTCAGCTGCTGTACATCTTACAAGCTGTCGACAGGGCGTTTGTCAATGTCCTTTTGGTTACTATGGAAACGACAACGGGACTTCCTGTAAACTACGTGAGTGGCGAAGGATTCCTTACTTCTTTCTATTGTGTTAGATGGATACTTCTCTTCTATAAATACATACAATTTTCTGTTTTTTTGTGACATGTTCGAATTGAATGATGACATTAATCCTTTGATGAGACTAAACTTCCATATAACGTGAATAACCTATTACATAACTATGTATCATTTCAGGGGTAATTGGAGATTCTTGTGAGGAAGATAAAGATTGTTATTTCGCTGTCTACGACTCGGTGTGTCAATCTAACCGATGCTCATGCTCAGAAGAGTTTGATTCTTTCGAGCGCGGGGAATACTGTGTATTGCGTGAGTTTGCAACATGTGTATCGGAGTTGATTTTTTTCTATTCCAGGTCTAATTAAATGGTAAATGTAATGGTAAAAATAAATATCATTGACACCTAATGATGATATAAATCAAAACCTGACCTCTGTAACTCAGCATTTCATTGTTCATTATCCCTCACTCTTTCTAACAGGTATATGTTGTCTTTCCTTGAGTTGTTGGTTGACGCAATAGCCAACATACTTGCCTTTTGGCAAGACGAGAAATGAAAATGCAAACCTTTTTCACTCTGTAGTGATGAAATATTCCATAAATCTTTCCCGGGCACATGGGGTGGTAGAAATATACTTAGTCTCTTAGTCTCTGGTTAAAATATTTCTTGCTTCACCATACGGTAGAAGCGTATATCAGAAGAAATGTTGATTACATAGATATGTGTAAACAATGTGATATTCCGTATTACAAGCATGATTTTATATCTGAATTCAAGAGAATTTATGTGAATTTGTACGATATGAATTCTAAATGTTTTAGACGATTTGGATTAGTTGGTGTTTCCTAATGTTCATTTGAGTGTCTTAAGTGTTCATGAATGGGTTATAATTACGATATATATCATCTAGGTAATGTAGATCACTGGAATAGATAGACGATATGTACCGATACATCGCTGATAATGTCTTTGTTCTATCTAAGCTCTGTCCATTGATTACACACGCAGTTGAGCGTTCCCGCTCGGCGAACTTTCATTGAACTGTATCAGTATGATCATGACTCTAATGTAGTGTTTTAGTGTCAACAGTTCTTGGTGGTAGAATCTGTAGTCGATTGCCCTAATGAAATCATTTACATTTACTGGGTTGTCTTATATGTTCACAGGAAATGTTTTATGTAACCTGACGGCTCTATCTGAGGGATACATAACACAAAGGTTAACAAATATTCATCTTGACCTTAAACCAAGGCAATAAGTAATGTTCTATTCAGGGCTTTTTTGGGTTTCAAAACTCTGCAATTCGATTTCATTGTTTTGTCGTCACTAACCTCGTGATAATAATGCTGAATATGGTATTAATTATATGCAGATGATAGTAGAGGACAACATATTTTGCTTAAATAAGGTGTTGTATAACCATTATCACAATCTCGTTTTAACAGGACCCTTGCTGTTGACCGAGGTGTGTTACTTTCCGTCTCAGTGCCGTCACATCGACAGCAGAAGTATCTGCATCAACGACAAGTGTCTTTGTGAACCAGGATACTTTGTATCTAATGAACAAGACACATGCCTTCCAGGTAAGATACTTTAACCATAACTTAGTTATGTTTGACAGATTTTTATGGAGGACAAAATAAAAAAGAGACAACCACTTTCTTGTGACATTTTCGATTCATAAAGTAGCGCCATTATCCATATGACATCACAATCGACCACTGACTGGCGTAGGCAATGAAATATTGTACCAGTAACATATACACAGGACGAATCCACGGGATTACATGTAGATTATGCTATATATTCTTTCATGAAATCGTACTAACAAGGTAGTTCAATGCTTATCTTTACATTTCCTAGGCAGGTTTTGATGTTATGGCGTTATAAGTTAAAATTGAAATACACTATTCTCTATCGAAAGTGTACCCAGTCAAGTGGTACAGCCATTGATGGCGATTTTTTTTGGTTTTTTTTTTTTTTTTTTCGTGCTCGTAATAATGAAGTTGTAATGATCATACCTTAAATCACAATGCTTTCCGTTTAGTTTTGTATCGTGGCATTGTCATGCAAATGTACATATTCCATATAGTTTGAACCAAAACATGACTTTTAGAGAAATATCACCTGATAATTAGATGTTATATTGTAACAATGACGATGATGATCGGTTACATATGCTTCTGCGCCGAATCAGCGATTTATATATCTTTCTTAATCCTATTTACCATGCAACAAGATGTTTCTTAAATCTAGGAATTTTGTTCAGATCGTTCGTTCAAAAAATACTTAAGTTATGGGGAAGTTTTATGGTCGCCATAGCGATCTCATGGAGAAATATTCTATTCCTTTGTGTGAAATGAAGCTGGACGTATTTGATGCTCGTTAGTGTGCCTAATGGTTCCCGTTATTGTATACCAAGGTTTACATGTCGAGTGTCATCGATGGAGCAGAAGACGTTTACTCTTCCGGAACACTTGGTCTTATTCTCCTTGTACTTTTTCAGGAGTCTCCATGTAAATCTTTCTTTTGTTCAAACTTTGCTCTAGTTAAATGGAATTTGAGTTTGGATTATGGTTATGTTGCCATGTTGGTATTGTCTTGGTGGTATTTTTTTTAATTCATGAAATGAACAGTATCTTCTAAATAAAAATGTCTGCACTATTCGACCACGTAGTAATACCCCAGCATTGTAGTCGTCGACAGCCAATGTCGTCTATATGCTCTAGATCACCTCTGATTTCTGTATACTGTGAGTTTCTCAGATAGTCTCTTTTAGTTCATTTATTTTAACTCCTTTCTGATATCTTCTCCATTCTACCATCCTGTTGCTGCGTCCAATGTACGGTTACTACCTCAGAACACTTGGCATTACCTTTGTATAGGAGGTAGTCCATTTATATGTGATTTGGTTTTCTTAAGGCCTAAAAAGTGAAACGTCCGATAAAATAGCTTCATCAATATTACATGTTTGTTTTTTTCTTAAAATAGGGCACAGCTATATTTGAATTTTCTTCAGGCTGTCATTAACACAACATCATTTCTTGATAGAATATTCCCAACACAAACCGCATTACCAGTAAACGGCCACTATTAACAAAATATCATTTCTTGATAGAATATTCCCAACACAAACCGCATTACCAGTAAACGGCCACTATTAACAAAACATCATTTCTTGATAAAATATTCCCAACACAAACCGCATTACCAGTAAACGGCCACTATTAACAAAACATCATTTCTTGATAGAATATTCCCAACACAATCCGCATTACCAGTAAACGGCCACTATTAACAAAACATCATTTCTTGATAGAATATTCCCAACACAAACCGCATTACCAGTAAACGGCCACTATTAACAAAACATCATTTCTTGATAGAATATTCCCAACACAAACCGCATTACCAGTAAACGGCCACTAATAACAAAACATCATTTCTTGATAGAATATTCCCAACACAAACCGCATTACCAGTAAACGGCCACTAATAACAAAACATCATTTCTTGATAAAATATTCCCAACACAAACCGCATTACCAGTAAACGGCCACTATTAACAAAACATCATTTCTTGATAGAATATTCCCAACACAAACCGCATTACCAGTAAACGGCCACTATTAACAAAACATCATTTCTTGATAGAATATTCCCAACACAAACCGCATTACCAGTAAACGGCCACTATTAACAAAACATCATTTCTTGCCAACACAAACCGCATTACCAGTAAACGGCCACTAACAAAACATCATTTCTTGATAGAATATTCCCAACACAAACCGCATTACCAGTAAACGGCCACATTAACAAAACATCGCATTACCAGTAAACGGCCACTATTAACAAAACATCATTTCTTGATAAAATATTCCCAACACAAACCGCATTACCAGTAAACGGCCACTAATAACAAAACATCATTTCTTGATAAAATATTCCCAACACAAACCGCATTACCAGTAAACGGCCACTATTAACAAAACATCATTTCTTACCAGATAGAATATTCCCAACACAAACCGCATTACCAGTAAACGGCCACTATTAACAAAACATCATTTCTTGATAGAATATTCCCAACACAAACCGCATTACCAGTAAACGGCCACTATTAACAAAACATCATTTCTTGATAGAATATTCCCAACACAAACCGCATTACCAGTAAACGACCACTATTAACAAAACATCATTTCTTGATAGAATATTCCCAACACAAACCGCATTACCAGTAAACGGCCACTATTAACAAAACATCATTTCTTGATAGAATATTCCCAACACAAACCGCATTACCAGTAAACGGCCACTATTAACAAAACATCATTTCTTGATAGAATATTCCCAACACAAACCGCATTACCAGTAAACGGCCACTATTAACAAAACATCATTTCTTACCAGTAAACGGCCACTATTAACAAAACATCATTTCTTGAATATTCCCAACACAAACCGCATTACCAGTAAACGGCCACTATTAACAAAACATCATTTCTTGATAGAATATTCCCAACACAAACCGCATTACCAGTAAACGGCCACTATTAACAAAACATCATTTCTTGATAGAATATTCCCAACACAAACCGCATTACCAGTAAACGGCCACTTGAAGGATCAAAACGGGATTTCTGTTTCATCATATGAATAAAATCTTTAGGATTTCTTACATAATTTAGTTAGAGTTATTTGGATTGAATTGCGGTAATGTAATTAATGTACATCTTGTCTTTGACTGTTCCCAGACAGTGGTGGTTGTACCAAAAAGGGATCAAGACCAAAATACTTTGCTTGGAATGAAAAAATCATAAAGTGCCTCGCAAAAGTTGTTTATTTCATAACACCCAAAAAATTGCATTTCTCATTACGAAGGAAGTAAATTTTACTGTATCTTATTTGAGAAAATTACTTTTTAAGCATGATTTGTTAAGTCTATTGAAGAACTATATGTTTGGAATTGTAGTCTAATGGTATACACATGGTCACTTTGATGGATGGGGCAAAATGGGTCAACTCGATTGTAATTTGATTCATTTGATTATATTTAGAAAGTAAATCAAGTTATGTTATTGTTAACGAGGTGATTGGACATGACAGAACAACAGCTTCAGCATGTTTTATATATAAAACTTATAAAAGTGACTGTTAAGGCCTTTGACCTATTGTTCTGATAAGTATTTGTCCTGCTGTAAAATGAAAGCCTCACTTTATATCTTACTACTAGTGTAAAGAAAAGGAGCTTCATATTTAACAGTTATCAAACATGACTTACAATTGCGATCGTCGTTACTCGATTGTTATATCAATATCATTATAACGTTTTATAATGATATTAAAAATATGTCATTGCTCGTCCTGCTTAATGCTAAGCAGGTAATTTATCTGGAAATCGACTGATCGGAATTTATCCGGCTGTCGATAAGGCTAGCAGCTAGATAAATCCAGTTCTTTCTCGCCATCTGAGAAACGCAATTACCGTTTGGTTGAAATATTGACACAATTAATTTTTGACATCAAACGGAAGGACAAATTTCTAGATGAGACCTTACTGACAAATAACCGTTCTGGATAGTTTCCGGCATTGCTAAATTCCTGAACCGCCTTAAACCAACTCCATATATGCCAACTGATTAACGCACAACTATACAGTTACTGACACTGAGTGTCAGATTTCAATCACAATATTCTGGTAATTGATATACGTCAATCCAGTATATGTACACACTTCAGGGATGATTAAATTCTAGTTAGTACTGATTAGTGCATACTTTGATGATATATGTGTTATCGCTATTCATCACGTGGCCGGGAAATCGAACATTGTAATACATGGATTGAAAGTTATGAAACACTGTCCACAGACATAGTATTAAGTACAATTCCTCTGAACTCACGACTTGGGTAAGGTAGTTCTCTACGGCCTTGACCGGGCAATTTTTAATTAAAACAAACTGTAATATCACGTGATATCATAGTGTACGCACATATTGCTTTGGATTATCATATTGCAACAGGTAGGACAACGCGTGTAACATTGGGAAAGTATAGGTTTTCAAGTGTTCTACCATTGTATACAAAGAGGTTAAATAGCAGATGGTTCTGTGTTACTATTTAACTCGAGTTCAAATTAGAAAATACCAACATGTCAGAAGATTTAAATCCATACTCAGATTCAATAAATCTTGAGCAACACGGGGAAAAAATTGAGGAGATTGGAAGAAATAACAAATACAACAAACACCCATGTGACCTGTCCTGTCTCTACCACAATAAAAGAACTATTCACGAGTTTGTGTGACCTGTCTCTACCACAATAAAAGAACTATCAATGAGTTTGTGTGACCTGTCTCTACCATAATAAAAGAACTATCTACGAGTTTGTGTGACCTGTCTCTACCACAATAAAAGAACTATCCACGAGTTTGTGTGACCTGTCTCTACCACAATAAAAGAACTATCCACGAGTTTGTGTGACCTGTCTCTACCACAATAAAAGAACTATCCACGAGTTTGTGTGACCTGTCTCTACCACAATAAAAGAACTATCCACGAGTTTGTGTGACCTGTC